AGAGAGATTTGTTGAGATAGAAAGGAAGAAGGAAAGCATAAAAAATGAAAACTCCTACTGAGTTGAATCAGAATTGGAAAATTGAAGCTAAAAAGGCTTACATTTGCACCGCCCAATCACCAAAGAGCCTGCACTCCTTTGCTTCTTAGCCCATCCTAAGAGATTCTTCTTCTTCTTCATCATCATTGTTGTCGTCATCAGACATTTCTTCTTTTTCTTCTTCTTCTTCATCATCGTTGTCATCACCAGACATTTCTTTTTCTTCTTCTTCTTCAATGTCAATGTTGCTGTCACGGTGAAATTTATAGAAGGTAGAAAGGACATCCTTTGCATTGGATTGGTCCCATTCCAATGATTCCCAGCGTTCTTTTGTGTCTAACTCAATTTGTTTGAGGGAAGGAGGCTGGCCATTGTCAAGCGAGGAAAGATTCAGAGGGATCCTCTTTAGCTTCTTACAATTTTGAATCAGCAGACCGTTGATGGAATCACAAATCAACACACTGGAACTGCTACAAATGCTCTTCAATTCGGGCAATCGAGATAATTCCAACCTTTGGAGCTTGGGTAGAGTGATTTTTTCTAGGGCTTCTTTTTCTTCATAGGTCGATGATGATATCAGCTCCTCCATTTGGTAACAGGAATAAATATCAATAGTCTCTAGAGATTGGAAGTAGCCAAGCAGCCATCTAGATGAGAACACTTTCTTTAATTTAGGGCAACTAGACACACGAATTGTTTTAAGAGAGAAAAAGTTGGTGGGACGGGCCGATAAACCAAGAACTTCTTCATCAAACACGGATTTCAGATTATCTAACCTCTCAAGCTGCAGATGCTCAAGGGTTGGAAGTGGGTTAAACCCCGTCCAAAAAACACTCTGTATTTCTTGGCTCCCCCGAATGTCAATCCTTTTGAGGGAATCACAGATCAAGACAGGAGTAGAGCCACTGTAGATGCTCTTCAATGCGGGTAAATCCAGCAACATCACCCTTTTTAACTTTGGTAGAGTGAGTTTTTCTAGGGCTTTTTCTCTTTCTTCTTCATATTCGAACCATATTATCTCCTCCATTTGATCACACCATTCAACCTCAATGGTCTGTAGATTCTGGAGATACCGCAACAACCTAAGCGGCAATAACTTCTTTATTTTTCCACATCCCCCAACTTCAATTTTTTGAAGAGAAGAAAAAGTGCCAGCTGGCAACGGTGCTGACTTGGCAACTGCTTCTACTGCCCCAACCACTGCATTCAATTTTTCCAGACAATAAAGGTATAGCGACTCAAGGTTTTGGAGCAGCTTTAAGCGGCGCGAGGAAACAACAAACTCCATGCCATCACATCGCTCAACGGTGCAGTGCCGCAAGTCGGTTGCTTCTTGAAAGCCAGAAATGTCGTCCAAGCTTCTCACATCCTTGCATTCCAAGATGTAGAAGCCTTGTGCATCAGATGGTAACCAATTAGGCTCCTCACATATATCAATATGACAGCATACAATTGATTTCATAACATTTGAAAAGGTTTCGTTATCGTAGTAATAATCATGTCGATTGTAGCTTCCAACAAAAATTCTGTATTGATTTAAAAACTTTCTTTCAGACTTAACAAAGAGGCTCATATCATCCAGCGGAGACAACCGGCCTTCAAGAGATTCCAACTTCCTCAATCTTCCAATCTCCTCCCATTTCAATGGTATAGTCCCTTCTACTCCTAAACACTGAAGTTTGGAGAGATTTCGTAGCAATCCGTCAGGTATATCAGATAACATTCCACCAAGCCAAAGATATTTTAGATTGGTTAACATGTTGAGGCCTTGGGGTAGTTCTTTAATTGATGTCCCAAAAAGGTTTAACTTTTTTAAGCCTCCAAGGTTGGATAAAGGTGGTACCTCTTTTAAGAACTCACAATTCTCCAGCAGTAGTGTGGTAAGATTCTCTAATTTGGAAACAGAACTCGGCAGCCTATGTAGGTTGCGATTGCCAGAAAGATCAAGGATCTTCAGCCCAGGCATATGATCAAAAAAGGCTTTTGGAATTGTTGTAATATTGTTATTGGACAACAACAAGGTTGTGAGCATTGGACACTTGAGAGACGACATGCTTGAAGGAATTTCTCTAATGTCATTATTCATTAAAGAGACCTTCAAAAGATCTTCTCTCCATTCATCCTCCTCCGGTAGCTCTTCCAAGGCCATGCCAGCTTTCACCATGAATTGAGGATGAATAATCTTCAATGCCATTTCTCGGAGGAGATCATGCATACTCACCCGATCTTTATCATTTTTGATTTTAACCGTTTCATGCGGTCTCTTATAATATAATTGGTCTTTTTTTTGAACCAATTCCAACATGCAATTGTCTATTAACTTTTGAATAATAGAAAGGCCCTCACAAATCATTGAGTGCCGAGACCCACTTTCATCTATTATAAATCCCTCCTCAATCCAAAACTCAATCAACTCCTCTTTTCGGATTTCATGGTCCTCAGGATACAATGCACAGTATAAGAAACAATTCTGGTGTTGTTCATCTAAGTGGTTATAACTGAATTTCAAACAATCAACAATTTCTTCATATTTGCTCAATTCTTTAGCTGCAGTCTCCCATGAGTAACGATTGAATTTTCCTCTCATGGTCGTTGCCACCACCCCAATAGCAAGGGGTAGACCATTACATTTCTTCAAAATCTGTCTCAAAAAAGGTTCTACATCACTTTTGTATCTGGGAGAGGACACCACCTCACTTCCAACTTTGTCCAAGAATAATGCTAATGCTTCATCAGCTGGAAGAGGCTTCACATAAATCTCCTTACACTGCATTTTACCAGCAACCTCTTGTGATCGTGTTGTGAGCACCATCTTGCAAGCATCATTTCCATTAGGATCAAGGATTCCAACAGCTTCTTGAGAAAAAGGCTCCCACACATCGTCCAGAATTAAAACACAACGGCCCTGTTGCAAGCTTTGTGATATTAGTGCTGCAAGGTTAATAGTATTTTCATCCTCATTCTTCAGTTTTAATCCCAAGTTTCCTGCAATGCTCTTCTGAAACTTGAAAATATCAAACTGCCTTTTTTGTTGGAGAACAATATCAAAGTCTCTAGATACCTTTACCCAAATAACTTTCTTAATTGTGGATTCTTTTAATAGTTGGTTGTGGACTTGCTTCATGATTGTTGTCTTGCCCACACCACCCATTCCACAAACTGCAATTCTTGTAACCTTGTCTCCCCTTAATAGTTGCAGAATTTCTTCTTGTACCTCATCCCGTGCAATGCATTTTTCAGCAGGCATTGGAACTCCTTTTTTTGAGTGATCATCTATAACCAAACTCACACCAACATTAGTGAATTCTTTTCCTTCCTCAAGTAGTCGCTGCAATTCTTCAGTCCTTTCATCCAGCTTTCTTGATGAGCAAATAAATGTGCAACAGCGCCCTTTGCAATTCAGATCTTCAACCTTTACAGTAGTTTCTTTGCGTGCTTCCTCGACCCAAGCATCGACATCATACCTTGCCTTCTTTCTAGGCTGCGGCTGCAGTTGTGTCTCTAATTCTGCCTCAACGTCTTTTAGCCGGTCCTCCAGCCTCTTTCGCTTTGCTTCGAATTTGCGTACATAATCCTCGTGACAGATCTGATACTTGACATATTTCCAAACTGTAGGGCCAAAATCCTTCACACAACTACTGACTGAATCCTTCACACAACTAATGACTGAGTCCATTTGCAAGTGCCTGCAGAAATATACATGAAATTGTTGGCAGGATGAGAAAATGTATGTTTTGATGCATAAGATAGTAGAAACGTAATCACCATAGGAAAGGGGATCGTACAATTAGCAAGAGCAACGAACAAATGAGGCTTAGTTTGCGAATGTTTCTTAGTGCTTTAATTTTTAATTTTTTTTACTATCTTAAAAATATATAAAATATAAAATATATTATTTATATTACATATTGGGCCTGGTCCTATTCCAAAAGGATGTTAAAAGCCTGCAAGCCCACCCAATTGACGAAC